AAATCCCTTTCCCCCCTCCAGAAAGTAGTTACCTCTTTACTGATTTAATTATTTATTAATTTTTTATACAACTTAGAATGGCAAACAAGCTGACGGTCCACCTGATGGAAAGTGGTAACCGTCGCCTATAGACATGAACAGTACCATGGACATAACAGAGTATACTGTTTCGTCCATAATACCCCCCATGCGTTGCCATTCCTGAGGACTCAGGTGTTATTCCTCTGTACCCGGTAAATTCACGCCATATCCCACCGTTCAAATCGAAACACAGCCACGCAAACACAACTGCTTCACGGTAGAAACACGAATGACTAGACCACTATTGGACATTAGTAGGCTGTCGACTAGAGTCGGAACAAATACTCATTTGTTTATTTTCATCATAGTTTAATGAAATACAGTGCCTATATTAAGTTATAGAACGACAGTGTAAAATTAATCAAGCAACCACAAACTGATAGATTCTTGCGAAATTTAACAGTCGAGTCTCTTACTTTGTCTCACGGCCACCTGTTATAAATCATATTGACGACCAATACGTGCTTATTAAGTAGTTTATTTTTCTTATTTATTTATTTAATTTAATACTTTACCCTCAGATTATGTAGATAGAGCATCGAGCCATAAAAACGAGTCAACTTTTTATCAGCTAATAGTCAAATTAGGTAATTTTTTTTTATCAGTATTCTATATACTTACGCATAAAATGTATTTTGTCGTATTAATTAATAAATAATATGAGTGTTTACGCATTAAAAAGATGCAGAAATGACAAAGTAAAATAAATATAGAAGTTATAAAGGAATCAATCATAACTATTTATCACGCAAAATTGTATGAAAAAGTTAACCTGCTTTTTTTTGGATACAAATGTATGGAAACACTCCATCAAATGTAATCTAATGTCAGATTATTATCATAACTAATATTAGTTGGGGGGGAAAGGGATTGTTAGTAATGGAGACCGAGAATCCCATTGCTAGCAATATACCCAACCTGGTCCACCTCCTCGCGGTTCCCCCTGGAAACTACCATGGTTAATTCCTGATAAATTCATCATGATGAGCTAACTGGCCTGTTTTTATTCTCATCTATCACCCTTCACTGGTGCTCCGCCAGCGTATCCCGTTAGCGCAGGCGGGGTTACCATTCCATTTTCACCCATCAAAAAAAAACCTAATATTAGTTTAAATTAAAAACTGATACATTTTTAATTGAACCTTTTTTACATGAATTGCTACGAAATAAATAAAAAACAAATATCGAAAAAACTATTTCAATTATGTAGTAATATTTTTTTTTGCAGACTGCGTATTTTTATATCTATATGTATATGTAGGTCAAAATATATATGAAATGTTAAGAAAAATCTTGTGCGAACATTTTCCTGTTTCTACAACCGTTAAAGTATTTACCCTACCTTCGCCCGGTCTTAAACATCCACCCTATTTGGAAAAAGCTTATCATTTTCCACCAGGTGGGCCTTAAACCCTTCTGAGTCTAATAAAAAATGTATAAATATGTTAATAAAAAATTCACTGTACAAAAGTGAGATTTATTATTTTTTTTTGTCACGCTCACGCCGGATTTAGACGGTACATTTAATTTTATAGCTAAAAAGCGATTCTTCCTGCATCGGGTTCCAAGTGGGGCATCTACAATAATTATATTTAAGTGATTATTTATTAACGTGGGCGAATCATCGGATGACCTACTTGTAATGTGGTGGTCTGGACTAAATTATCGCAAAGAATAAAACTCCAGACGGTTAATATTGAAAATGTGACAAAGTCACAAAAGGAATACTAAATTAATTTCTAACTAGCTTTTATCTGCGATTTCTCCCCCCGTAATTAGGATATTTTAATTAACTGGGATAAATTACAACAGAAAATAGAAAAACTTTACATACATTTACCAGATGGAGACTTTGTACAAAAGTCGTTTGCTTGGCCACCTCTGTCCCATTTGTGTTTCTACCGTGAAGCAGTTGTGTTTGTATGGCTGTGTTTCGATTTGAAAGGTGGGCTATGGCGTGAATTTACAGGATACAGTGGAATAACACCTGAGTCCTCAAGTATGGCAACGTACGTCGAGTATCATGGGCGAAACAGTATACTCTGTTATGTTCATGGTACTGCTCATGCCGTCAACTTGTTTGCCATTCTAAGTATCATAAAAAAAGTGTCTCAAATTAGGCAAAAGGAACTGGCTCAGCTGATGCTGCGAGTGTTTCAATGCAGTGTGTACAACTGCACAGCGCTGGTTTTCAACCAGTCCCTCTCTTAAAGAAATACAACAAAAATGCAAATGGGTACAACTGCAATTGCCTCTTACAAGCTGGTGAAGCAATTCAATAAGAATAACAATTATTTCCTTCGATATGTGAGCCGGGTCGCCGGCTGGTTTTTACCTCGCTTTTCGTAATTTCGAAAATAGGATAGGTACTCACCTGCGAACAATTCCAGCAGCTCTCTACAGGATCCGGGGTTCGATGGTCCGAAAGATGACACGGAGCACAGCCGATAAATATTATTTTTTAATTAAGTTGTAGGAAAGCGGCCAGTCGCGGTTACTCAAAACGAAGTTCGAAAAAGAAGGGCATCGGCGCGAGAGGGCAGCACCGACAAAGATCGGACACAATCGGTCCATAGCCCACAGATAACCACTAAAATTGCGAGCATGTAAAGTACCCATCCCTTATCCATAGCGAAAAGCGAGTAGGCGCAAATACTAATATGAATAATGTTATTAATTCTAAACTGGCGTCACCATTCTCCCCCAGCCTTGAAAGGATGCCTTTCAACATAACAACTATAACTATTACATCGCACTATAATAAGAAATTATACTAATATTTAAACTTTTACGGACTCCTGATGGAGTATCTAAACTAACTATAATTAAATAATACTATTGCATAGGAAGAGGACATAATTTCACGACAGGCCGTTGATAAGTACCATTTTTAGTCTTAACAAGTGCTATACGTACTATATTGTCCTTTCCCGGAAAGGTTTTAACTATCAGGCCAAGGGGCCAATACAATGGAGCAATATTGTCTTGCATTAATACAACAACCGTACCTTCCTGAATAGGCACTGACGGTGTATTCCATTTTTGTCTAACTTGGAGTGTGTGCAAATACTCGTTTCGCCATCTTTTCCAGAAAGATTGTACGATTTTATCCAATAATTCATACCGCTGCAGTAGGTGGTCAGACGATGTAATATTTGGATATGCAGGTAAATAGCTTAAAGGCACCACATTAAGAAAATGAGCGGGTGTTAAAACCCTGGGTTCCGAAGGGTCAGAACTAAGAGCACACAGTGGTCGTGAATTTAGCAATGCCTCAATCTGTGTGAGTACGGTCACCAATTCCTCATAAGATAATATTTGCTGACCAATTGTCCTATACAAATGGGTTTTCGTTCCCTTCACTATACTCTCCCAGCTACCGCCATGATGAGGGGCATTCCTGCAAATCATTTGCCAAGAAATACGGTTTTCCGCGAGCTCTTGTTTCCAATATTTTTTATACTCATTGGCTAAAAATTTATGCAGTTCGCGTAAGTATGATTTGGCACCGATAAAATTGGTTCCGTTATCAGAGTGCATATATTTTACCGGACCACGACGGGACAGGAAACGCTTGAAAGCCGATAGAAAACTAGCAGTACTAAGTTCGGTAGCAAGTTCTATATGAACTGCTCTAGTAGTCATACAAGTAAATATACAAATATACGCCTTCTGGGCTTTAACACCACGACGACGCTGAGGCGTATATGAAATAGGTCCAGCATAATCACAACCAGTATGAATAAATGGTTTTTCTACTTGATTTACCCTACATGAGGGCAAATCAGCCATCATTGGAAAAAGAGCTTGAGGTTTTAAGCGAAAGCAAAAATAACATTGACGAATTCTCTGACGAATAATTCGTCGTGCAGATATAATCCAATAATTGCAACGCAAAAGGGACATTAATGTTTCAGGCCCTGCGTGACAATTCTTCCTATGATGGTAATCAATAAGAATGTCTACAATATGATCACGTCTGGGTAACAAGAAGGGATGTCTAAATTCATAGGATACATCTGCGTTATCCAAACGGCCACCAACTCGAATAACACCATTATCTAAGAATGGTTTCAATTGTCTAACTAAATTAGAACACAAGTTCGCAGCTGAAAGATCTGCCAATTCTTGTGCAAAATAAACACTTTGAAGTGCTCGTATTATGTGAATTTCAGCCTTAGATAAATCCTCGGCGCTTATAGGCCCTTTAGGTAATATTCTAGCAAATTTAAGTAAATAAACAACAGACCGAAGATATTTGCTCCATGATGAAAACTTGCGAGATAACTCAAATAATACATTCGATTTTGAATCACAAGTAGAAATTAAAACTACTGATTTTGCCTCTGGAATTGACTCACCTTGAGGTATAAAAGGTTTAATAGGCCATAAATCTTTCGGTTTACTTGCCCAAGGAGGGCCGTGAAGCCAAAGAGGGTGACTCACTAGTTGTGCTGGTGTTAGCCCTCGAGATAAACAATCACTAGGGTTATCTAATCCCCGAATGTGATAGAAATGTTTACTAGGCAAATTCTCATGTATTTTTGCCACACGATTGCCTACAAAAGTTTGCCATCGATAGGGCTCTGAGTGGATCCAACTTAATGCTACTGTTGAATCCGAAAATGCTAAAATCGTATGAACAGAAAACCGAGGCATGTAATTAAAAACAACCTTTTTTATGAGTTGTGCAAGAACTAAAGCCGCACATAACTCTAGTCTTGCAAGTGACACAATTTTTAATGGGGACACTTTGGACTTGGCACAAACCAAAGTGATTATATTGTCATTATTAGGAGTAGTAACACAGGCATAAACTACTCCGCCATACGCTTTCTCACTTGCATCAGCAAACCCAAGAATTGTCAACCTACAATTTTCTGTTACACCAATGTGACGAGGAAATTTAAGCTGCTCAATTAGGGGCAACTCACGTTGAAACTGATGCCATTTTTTAACAATATTTTCTGGGGAGAATCGTCCCAATCAATCTTTGCTATCCATAAATCTTTAATTAATAATTTAGCGAAAAGTACAATAGGGGCCACTAACCCTAAAACATCAAACAACCGAGCAATATATGACAGTATATGTCGTTTAGTACATGGACGTTCATCATGATTAACCTGAAAGGTAAAATTATCATCGATGGGATCCCAACGTAGTCCCAAGATTTTGAAAGTATTGTCATCATCATCACTATCAAATGAGACACTCTGTGACAAATGCCTGTCTTCAGGTATTTCCTGTAATATACGATCTGAATTGGAAGACCATTTTGCCAATTCAAATCCCCCAGCCGTGAAGAGCTCATTTAACTCACGCACAGCATCGTTAGCTTTCTGTTCATTTATAATGGAACTAACGATATCGTCCATGAAAATATCACGAGAAACAATTTCTTTGGCAACAGGAAAACGATCGCCTTCATCCTCCAAAAGTTGTTGTATAGTACGTAACGCCAAAAAAGGGCTGGATCGCAAACCGAAAGCAACACGGTTATATTGATAAACCTTGATTGGTCCATTAAAATCAAAACGATACAAAATACGCTGAAATGGACGATCCTTTTCACGAACATGGATTGCTAAATACATTTGACGAACATCTGCCGAAATAGCAACTAGAAACAAACGTAAATTTAATAAAATAGAAAACAAATCCGCGTGCAGACTAGGGCCTGCATGCAAAATATCATTCAAAGACAAACCAGAGTCAGTAGGAAAACTAGCATTAAGAACGACTCTCAATTTTGTAGTAATCTTATCCTCACGAATAACAGCCCGGTGAGGAATATAATATGCTTTCTCTTGAGGCACAATATCTACTTCAGACAAGTATCCCTTTTTAAGGTGGTCAGTAATAACCTCATCATACGCCAACTTAACTGCTGGTTGAGAACGAAGCTTCGATTCTAATCGTAAATAACTGCGCTCTGCAGCCTTCAAAGAATTTCCTAAATTTTCAGAATCAAGTTTAAAAGGTAAAGCAACTTCATATTGACCGTAGCTAGTTCGCTTAACAGTTGATTTAAATATATCCTCAGCCTGTTTATCTTCTAGACTGAGAATAGGAGAATTTCCTAAGTCCTCAATTTCCCAAAACTTTTTTATTAAATTATTGACTTCATATGTAGCACAAAAACTAAGAGACGAAGTACACACTGTCGTAATAGGAGCATCACCAAGAACGATATAACCTAAAGTCGTCTCGATAGCACTCGGTTGGCCTGGGGCATTAACTATCTTACCCGGCAATAATACATTGGTAAACAATTGTACACCTATTAATAAATCAACTTCATTAGGGACGCTCCACGAATTATCTGCTAATGCAATACCCTCAAATCCAGATATTTTAGTAATATCTATAGGGCAAGTAGGCAATCTAGATGTAATATTTTCTAAAACAAGCGCTTCTATAGAATACTTTTTCCCATGTTGAAGTGTGGAACGAAATACAAAATTAACGCTACCCTTTACAACTTGAGTAGAACCACCAATACCTTTAACTGAAGCTGATAAACTTTTATTGACAGATAAGCCTAGTCGTCTAGCACCCTTGGCAGATATATAATTTTTCTGCGAACCAGGATCAAGGAGAGCTCTAATTAAAATCTCTTTGCCATTACGACAAGCAGCAACAACCTTTGCTGTACCCAAAACTTCAGTAGTTGGAGATACAACTCGTTTTTCAGTTGACATTGTACACAAAGATACCTGATTATTTAAAACTTGGTGATCACCTTCACTTTCAAATTGAACTCCATTGTTCACTTTATTATTAATACATGGTTCAGTATTACTAAGAGCCACAGTGGCTTGCGATGGAGGCTTATTATTAAAATGGAGAATCGTGTGATGCTTTCCGTCACACTTACTACAAACATGCTGTGACGTACAGCGGGAAGACCAATGTTGAGAACTAAGACAATTAGTACACAACTTCTTATCTTTTACATATTGATACCTCTCAATGGGATTCAATTTTAAGAATTTATCACAATTTGAAATTTTTACATGAACTGCACTGTTGCAAAACAGACACTTAGAACGAGGATCACCAGTTGAAACATGTGCATGATTGGTACGCAAGCGATTACTGTTAGTAGATTTGCTAACAAATCTTTCATTTTTAATTGAAGGACGTGGTTGTGAGGTTCGATAGAGAACTTTAACATGTTCTCGCACAAAATGAACGAACTCCTCATAACCTGGCATACCATTATTATTCCGAATCGACATTTCGAAACTTCTTGCAGTATCAGGATCTAGTAACTTAAGACCCAAATGAACAAAAATAAATTCAGTTACATTTTCAAGCTTAAGTTGATTTAAGGCAGCAATTGTAGCTGCAAACTTATCAATAAAATCTTCCAGATTTTGTGCCGAAGCACCAACAAGAGGTTTCATTGAAAGTAACTGATTCAAATAAGAAGTACCCAATTCACGTTTATCATAATATTTAAGTTTTAACGTTTCCCAAACTGTTAAATAATTTTCCGCGGAAGGTACAACGCCTACAATTATAGACCTGGCTTTACCAGTTAATTGATTAAACAAATAATGTACTTTATCAGAATCTGTTAAATTATTGTTATCATGTATCATACGCTTGAAACTTTCGTAAAAGAAAGGGAACTGCTGTATATCGCCATTATAAAATGGTAACTCGATGCGGGGAATCTTCATATAATCATTACTATTAGACGTTACAGTTACAGCCTTTTCATTTAAAGGCTGTGCCTGAGAAGACTGGGATGACGCAGAAAGCTGATCATACACCAGGTTTATTTCACAGTATAAGTCATCAAATGAATCTAAACTCGAAAAGGAAGGTTCAAAATCTTTATTTAATTCAATATTCATCCAATTAATTTGTTCTACTATTTCCTTAAATTCAGAACGTAACTGTTCCAAGGTACGAACTTTACTCAAAAATTGTTTTTTAATAGTTTCATTTTTATAAATATCTGGTATTAAGTCATAAATGGCTTGCACCCGACTAAAAGAACGAGCTCGTTGAGCTTCATACAATTTAATTTTCTTTTCAAGATCCTCAATTGGAACCATGGTAAGATAATTACTATAATATACAATTTAAAAACTAAATAAGATTTATTAACACCTCATATGTTTATATAAGAAACGATAATTATTTAAAAGTATTGTTTTTATAAAGTTATGTTTAATTTCAAGAAACCTAGTTAAAACTAACAAATTCTACTTCAAGTAAATAAATTATTTAAAATATTAAATTCCGTTAGAGAAACCTATAGGGACACCTCGTTATTACTAATGTTCGATTATAGGTCAATAATCATGTTTATTACAATTACCAATAGATAACCACTAAAAAAATTATGTATATTCTTAGTTCTCATAGTATCTATAGGTATGTACCTATACTAATTAAATAAAATTAAGTTAATTATTATTTTTCATAAATTCAACAAATAATTACAATACTCAAATATGTGTAAACGTTGTTTATACTTGAACAGGTATATAATAAATATCACTCATATCACTAAACAACAATTCTATTAACTTGCTAACACTTTCAATTGAATATAATAAATCTATGACGTGTCAGTAAATGCATAAACAATCGTTAAACAATTTTACCTAAACAACAGCAATATTCAAAGCAACACTTTTTGTTTAGTTAAGCTAATTTTGCATGGGATACCAATAATGTGGCGTTTCTTTTGAAATGAGATAAAATGTAAACAAACCGCAATGTAAAGGAATAGACCTAGCATATAGCAAATAACTTATTACTATTACAACTTCTACTACAAATGGCTACTAATTACATATAATTTACCTTTTGTACTGATACTTAAACTCCAGTATATACGAGAATATTTAAGTAATTAATAATCTAAATTAGAAAAGATATGACAAAATAATACTATATTTGCAACCGCTAAGTGTATATATTATACAAACAAATGTAATATGCACCTAATGTAATGCTGTCTGCATTACAGCAATGCAAATAGATGTGAACTATTCTTAAAAAATATAGGTATCCACAATATAGCAAAGTAACTTAGTGCTATATAATAAATATCTCTATCTTTAATAATCAAATATATTTAAATACATTTATAGTAACGAAGATGGTACGTGCACTATGCTTGTTTAAAAATAGCTTGATATACCGCAGAGATTGCGTAAATATGATATAGTTATTAAAACAAGTCCGCAATAGTATAACAAAGAACTTAGTTTTATACTACCTACACAAAAAATGTTAAAAATAATCTTCTAACAAATTAACTTATTGTTAGGCGTAATTATTATAGATACTACGACAAATTAACTTAGTGTCGAGTATTATAATATAGCTAAAAACCGCGACTAATAACAAAACACAACCCGATAACTTAGGTGTTATGTTGGCGTTTCAGTAACGCAGTGAACGCAAGTTAAATCTACCTACCTAAACGAACGTATTCAATTAACTTATGATACGTTTGTTACCTATTTCAATACAATTATACGTATTAAATTACTAGCAAGGCATCCAAGGTTCGATAGGACCAGAAAGAAATGGTGAAGCAATTCAATAAGAATAACAATTATTTCCTTCGATATGTGAGCCGGGTCGCCGGCTGGTTTTTACCTCGCTTTTCGTAATTTCGAAAATAGGATAGGTACTCACCTGCGAACAATTCCAGCAGCTCTCTACAGGATCCGGGGTTCGATGGTCCGAAAGATGACACGGAGCACAGCCGATAAATATTATTTTTTAATTAAGTTGTAGGAAAGCGGCCAGTCGCGGTTACTCAAAACGAAGTTCGAAAAAGAAGGGCATCGGCGCGAGAGGGCAGCACCGACAAAGATCGGACACAATCGGTCCATAGCCCACAGATAACCACTAAAATTGCGAGCATGTAAAGTACCCATCCCTTATCCATAGCGAAAAGCGAGTAGGCGCAAATACTAATATGAATAATGTTATTAATTCTAAACTGGCGTCACCACAAGCCTATATATAATAGGAGTCTCTCATCCCATACAATACCTGTATAACGAATTTTATAGATTGGTCAAGCCGTTAAAATGTTAACAGATAACAAAAACATTTACACATTTATAATATGTGTGCTATTCTATTTATATCTATATCTATTAATATCCGCAATTGCAGTGTCCCCCCCTTTCCTTTCCCACATAAGTCCCTTATTCTTCTCATTTACCAATTTCCTTTACACATTTCCAACGTTCCCTTCCTTTTTTCCTCAATCCTTTCCTCCATACTGCAGGTGACGGAAACCACCAACAAATGCATTCCCAAAGAGGGTTGACATCAGGCAGGCGGCCGGTCGTAAAATTAAAAAACCAAAGCTTTTTGTGATATGTATAAAACCATATTACGCCGACCCCAAATAATAATTGGGATAAGGGTAGGAAGATGATGATGATCTATTAATATGTGAATTACTCGAAGTGGCACTAAGTGTAAGTGAGCGACAATTTATTTATTAAACTTCAATAAAATCTTTATACAATATGTTGCGTCAAAGATTCAGACAAACAAATATTTTTTGTACCACTTAAAATGGCAAACAAACTAACGACCCACCCGATGTAAATCAGTAACCCCATGCCTATAGACATGAACAGTGATATGGGCATTATAAAAATAAACTGTCGTACCCGTGGTACTCCCCATGGGTAGCCAATCTGAAGACTATTATATAGACTGTAGTGTTATGCCTCCGTACTCCATAATATCACTGTCTTCAATCTGCAACACAGCCTTGCAATCATACATAGACTGACATAAACATAAAATTCATATGACTGCCTATTTTTATTTTTAAAATAACACAATTAACATGGAAAGGTTTTGCTGGAAGAAATCTTTTATTAGAGATAAGCTCGCCTTTGTACATTATGTTTATAATGAATTGTGATTAACAATATGTTTTGTGTACAATAAAGAATAAAGAAAGAAAGAATAGAAAAACAAATGATATCCGAAAATGATTTCAACAAATAGGTATTTGACTTGAAAAAAAAAAAGCTTAGTATCGACTATATACGTGACAATTTTGTAGATCAACAGAAAAATTATTTTAACAACGATCTGTTTTTTATTTTATTAAATATAATTAATAATAATAATAATAAAGCCTTTATTCTCTGACATTTTTACTTTAACTTACATACTACTTATTACTAAGCTAGCTTTCTAGCAACCATTATGTTGGTCAGGTTGTCTGTCGACATAGGCCTCCCCCAACTGTTTCCACTTTCCCCTATCCCTAGCTGACTTTCTCCATCCTTTAGGTAAATCGTCCTCCCATCTTTTATATATAATTATATTATTTATTAAATATAATTATGTTTATATAAATATAAAATCACAAGAATTAGAACTCATTACTTATAGCAAGTTAATTAGCATTTAAAATTATAATATGACGCATAAATTTGAATAGCAAACATAGTAATATCCAGTTTAAACCGGTTCCAGTTAGATACCCAACAACTGTGCCTATATTTTATATAACCAAATCGAATCCTAAATATCGGTTAATAAGTTGCGCATATATTAATGATAATAATTCACCGTGTTCAATTTTGTGATTCATATTAACATTTTTACGAATTCATACTTCGGACTCTTCTTATTTCACAATTTCAGTGGCACAGTTGTCAAACGCATTGATTTTCGTGAATACATATACTCATACATATGCACACACAAACAAAAACATACACAAATAATATGGTATGTGCCACAAAAAAAAAACAATTTCAGTCAGATCAAGTTATTTCAATTTAAAAATCAAATTACTCGACTAATTTTAATAAAATTTCTACGGAATTAATCTAAAAGTATAGATAAAGAGACAATTTTCTAAATCGATTTATAAACGACGGAACCATGAAGTATTAAACATAAAAAATGAACTAAAGAATTAACTCCTTTTTTTTAAGACGGTTAAAAGTTAGAGAGAGACCCTCCTACAAGCTGGATAAATATAAAAGACCAAAATTACCAATAGCCTAAGTATTGTGATTTAACAATTTTTTAATTTGCAACACTTTGGTAGATTAAACAATCAATTAAACATATAAATGTATCAATTTCAGATATTACAAAAAAAAAACTAATAAAAATTAATTAAAATACATAATTATTAAAAAACAAATATCCACCATTTGTCACTTAACATAACTACCTAGTTTACCATCTGATTAAATTATCACCAAGATTTATTAGGACAAGTTTAACTTTCCGTGAGACAGCATAAGTTTTTCCGTTCTTTTTGCAATGTAATAGCCTATTAGTTTGTAGAGTATAAATCATTTCTGACTTGACTGTAGTTTGTCATTATAACATAATTCATAGGTTGTTTTTTTTATTTAACTTTTGACAAGTAGTTTAGCAATAAAATATCTGTACAACAAAAGTGTTATCGAGTCTAGCTAAGCAGCTTTTATAATTAAATTTCTTGGTGATCTACTAAATTAAAAAACGATGGTTAACAGGAGAGACAAAAATATCCTATTCCTGAGTTTAATCCAAATAGGATGAAATTAAAAAGTAGTTATTAATAATTCTTTCTTTCTTTCTTTGCAGTTTAATATAATATTAATCCTTCCTAATGATATAAATGTGAAAGTGAGTTTGTTTGTTACATTTTGGCACCTTAACGGCTTAACGAACTGCCATAAAATTGGTGTACAGGTAGAGAAGGACAGACTACTTTTTATCTCGATCAGCCAACATATCCCGGTTACACGAACGTTTACTGAACGAACGAACGAATGTTTACTGAACTGAAGTCTCTGAGAGGTCTTAGTCGCGTAGGTAATTCCTGACGAACACGCGTCGCATCTGTATAGGCGATTCCAAATCATTACCGCCTAGCAATACATTAACAATAAATACGAATATTAACAATCTATCGTCTAAGAATTCCCGTCCTAGAATTTTAATATTGCTGTAGCAATGATATATTTACAGGCACGCTCTGCTAGCACCGACGTCCGCGTAATATACGTCATTGTACATTAGAAATGACCATTTCCAACCGAAATTAGGT